TGGGGATTTTGTGGCTGTTTAGGGCAAACTTATGCTGTAAACAGTGTGCGCGAACAGTGAAAACCAAAATTTTCTGTTCATCTCTTCTTCCTTCCCGTTTCACATGCCCTAAGTCCCTATATTTACAAAAATGCCATTATGAAAGCCTTGTCTTTAACTAAGCTCTGACTCAAGTTTAATTATGCTAAAACAAACCACATAATGGCTATTTAGAGCATAAATGTATATTATAACATGTTTTATGTCGTAATGTGTTATTTACTAAGTTTTGATGTGTAAAATGACCAAAATGCCCTTATTATACTTTTTATTGATTAATAAGCCTTTTTAACTAACTTAGGGTATAATTAGTACTATATCACTATAAAAGTTAATCTATAATACCATGGCCTCTTCTAGAACCATATTTCATTAATTTCAACCCAAGGAACTCATCTATGCTATAATAGACACTTTGGTCCCCAATTTTCATTCCAAGCATTTAAGGGCATTTAAGGGCAATTAAGGGCAAATTGGAAATTAAGAAAATTATGGGTGTTACTTTGTTCACTTAATTATTGTTTGTGCTGTTTCCTCTTCTTAGTGTCCCAAAGATGCATTTTGGACATGCAATTGGATAAGATAATTTTCTCACAATCATGAACTATGTTTACTTCTGAAGTAATAGTAATCTAGTTGTTCTAAATAAGTTGCATCTACTAAAATTTTGCTCTGAGCTAAAAGAATATATTCCAGAATTGTTTTTGCAAAGTTTTATATTCTTTTTTGGGTTATCTTTTTCTGAAGTTATTAGATAAAATAAAATTTGTATGTTGATGCATAGAATAATCTGATTATCGTGTTTTCCATATTTTCTCTATCTTATTAAACCATGTACAAAGTATGCTAGACTTATATGTGGATGAGGGAATTTTTATAAGTGACCATTAAACAAAATTTTTGTTGACATTGTTATGTTCCAAGAGTAAATATGTGAAAGGCCTCCTGGCTTTTTTTTAGGGTATGGAAACTGCATGTCTGTCATTGACGATACTTCACATAATTGGATGTACTGACATCTGGATGAAAGGCTAGAAATTATTAAAATTACTGTATTGTAGGTCAATGTTCTAAAGGTGACATGATAAATTTTCCATTTGACATGCAGGGGTAAATTTGCATCAATTCTATGGTACTTAATGACATGAGGCATCATAATGCTGCATACTTTCTTGTCATATGAGATCATTCTATTAGCATTCTCTGTCTCCAAGGACTGTTTGTGTTCTATATAGTTAGGTCTAGGATTATGTATTTGGTTCTCTTCTTTTTAATAGTGATTGTTGTGCTAATATACTTAGAAGTATTTTCACCCGCCAGAAAGCAAAGCCAAAAGAACTTTGATGTATCTGTGTTTCCTTTGTAGACTGCAGGGTCCTTTGATCAGAAAGAGTTCTGACAAATGGATTACTACTTCAGTTGTTGAAAATTTCCATGCCCTACCTTATGCGCAGGTGATCAGAGAATGTTTCTTAAGGTTTGTGAAATTTCTCAACATGTTATCATCATCTATATTCTTTAAACTGCAAAAGTTATATGGATTTTATAAAGCTGTTCTTGAACTTTTTCACATTTTAGCTTTACTTGCCATCTTTTCACAAGCAATAAATTTTAAACATTTAGTGTAGAGTGAATTCCCTTTCTAACATTCGGTTTTGCCATGTGAAATATTGCTATTGGCTTGCAAGTCATTTAGCTAAGCTAAAACATCTTAACCGTATAAAATTCTGTTTTCTTGTCTGGGGTGTTTTTCATAAATATAGTGGTAGTGCTACTGATATCTATGTTCTCTCATGAATGTGATTTTACATTTTACCCTTAATTAGGAAATATTTGTTTTTTAGCTGATTATTGAGCAAAGATAAATCCATTGCATTTTTGTTTAAGGTAGAGACCAAGGCCAGGGATCAACAACCCACCATAATACTAACTTCAGTCCCTGCACTAGGTGCAGCTTTTGGTGCAAAATTTCTTGAAGTATCTGGCATGTTGTTTTCTTTGAGTTCTTTGCAAGCTCAGTGTCATTTATTTTAGCTATCTTTGACTTGCATGCATGGTTAATTTATTTAGCAGTTGCCTTACGGTTTTGGATTTTATAAGTATTATTACTATCCCTTTTCTGGTGGAGAGGCCATATACTAAAGATACTATTTTACCCTCATGTCAAAAGTTAGAAACTACTATTCTCATTATCCAAACTTACTTACCTACTCAAAGTTTTCACTTACAAGTTGTGAAGAAAATTAAAAAAGGGAGAACCTAGAAGCAAAAACTGAAAGAAAGGCATAGTTCTTATTATTATGAGATGATATTACTGTCAAGTGCAAAGCCGTTATATATAGGCTTAGTGATGCATTGGCCAAGAAACAAATAATCAATCCATAATAATTCCAAATCAACTCTAAGGCCTACCACTATAATTGACTCAACCACTATTAATACAGTCTTCTAATATCTCTTAACACAAGTTGAGTTTTTTTTGTTTAGAATTGCAAAATTTATAAATACTAAAACTAAAGTTAAAACCGCAGTCATACTAAAGAAAGCCTAATTAGGCTATTTTGAGCCTATTTTTCTGATGACATAGCATTTTCTTTTCTTGGCATCAAACTAGTTACAAAGAAAGAGTTAACCAATCTTATTTGGCTACTTGTAAAGAAAATGTCATCTCATGGAAAGACTAGGCCCAAAATCAGCTAGAGCTTAATGGGTATTGAAGGGGAAAAGACAGAATGATGATGTATGATTATTTCATCTCTTAAATTATGGCTAATTTATTTCAACAGAAATGTAGGAGGGCTAATTCATTCAACTTGAAAGTATGAGGAGACATTTATTTTAAGAATAAGGGTTCATTTCAATAGTCACTGGAAGTAGAGAGGTGAATATACCCTGTTTGCCTTCTTTTTTATTCCCATTTATTCCAAATTATCTAGGCATATGAGCTGTCTTTGCCTTCTGTTATTTTATGCTAGGTTGATATCTTCTACCGTATGGAAGAGATGGTGGTGTAATTCATCAATCTTTTGAAATGTGTTTTACTTTAAAGTGTTTTACTTTACAGGAAAGCATTTGCTGACAATCTACAAGATCAGAGTTCAGGAGAAAGAGAAAGAGAACTGGATTTAAACAGCTCCGAAAGGGGTGAAAGACAGTGTGATTTAGAATCTCATACTGATGGTGATGGATATAGATGCCAGATAAACAGTGGTATCATGGAAGCTGCTGAAACTGGTGCTAGTATTGAACCAACAACACAGAATGTTAACCACAGGCATTGTACCAATGGTTTTTCAGATGTTATCAGCAGTCCCCACAATATGGATGTTGATGACTCTGCTGGAGTTCATTGGGAATGCAAAGCTACAATTGAAGATATTAACCGTAGGGTCAAACTTAATCCTCACAAAATTGTGAACCCTTGCAAAGAGAGTGATTTAAGTGTCACAAATGAGGGTGCAAAGGTTGGTTTATTATCCTTGTCTTTGTCGCTATAGTTCTTTAACTCTTTTATTTCGTTGTTTGGCTTAGTCTTGCATAAGATGGTTCAATTTTATGAGATCCCCTCTTAGGGTAGACATGCAGACACTTGTTAGCAAAGCTTACCTAGCAGTTTAAGCTATTATAACAAGTGACCATTTAACATTATATTAGGGTTGACTTATAGCAAAGCTACTAGCCTATTATAACCACTGACCACTTGACTTAAA